TTATATTATTAGTTAGCTAGTTATATAAGCCATAACGGATACCACTAAAGAAGCTATCGGATACTTTCTTTTTAAAAAGATCTTTATATCCTATAATATACTAAAGGAACTAATCTCCGATAATAGGCTAAATATCTTAGCCAGAGCTATATATTACTTTATAAAAATATTAGAGACCTAATATAGGACGATAACTCCTTATTATCTCTATATAAATAGGAAAATAGAAAATTTAAATAGAATTCTTAGATAGATACTTACTAAGTATCTAATAAATAAGCCTATAAGAGCTTAGGATCTTTATTTATATTAAGTACTTTTCGTTATAAGAGTATATAAATATATAGTTATAGGATTTAGTCTATTTTATTTAGTATATAATATTTATTTATAAATCCCTAGTGATCCGCCTAATAGCCTAAAAACGGAAGCCTTACGCACTAATACTATCTAAAATCTAAGTAATACGCTTATAAAAGCGAATAAACTACTTCTTATATAGGCTATTAGGATAAAGTATATATAAGATAGTCTCGTTATAAAAACTAGCTTCTAGCCGAATAACTAGGTATTAATTCGGAATAAGACTAAGAAGAAATTTAAAAGTAAGTGGTTCGGACCCTATTATATCCTTTAGTCCTACCTACTTAGGACTTATACTTTAGCGGAGCCTAACGGCTATATACTTCGTATATTTATTAATAGATTAAGGTTACTAAAAGCGAATATAGATAATCTAAAGATATTATAGATATCCTTAGTAGCCTATATAGCTCTGCGTTAAGCCCAAATATAGGTTAAGCGACCCGAAGAGGTCCGCGCGGTCCTAAAAAATAATAAGGAACTCCCTAACTATTTAGATCTATCCACTTTTATTAGAAAGGAGTAAGAAGATTTTAAGTATTTAGATATATACTTTAATTTAGTAGGGGAGGAGCTAGCTATAAGACGCGTAATTACTAAAGAAAAGGCAAAGACACGATATTAATAAATATTATTAGTTATAACCGAGTAGCAAGAATCGGACGCGAATAAATAGAATTTAGAAGTAAATAACTACGAATCTAAAGCCTCTAAGTCGTCTACTAAAAAAAATAAGAAAGATATTTCTTAGGAAAAAGTTTTATAATATTAGGACGCTAATATAAGCGAACGTAAACTTTTTAATAGCCTATTTATAGTAATAATACTATTAAAAGCGGCAAAATAATTTATTTATATAATAACTAATTTATTTATATAGGAACGGGCATAATTATATATAACTTAGATAATTAATTATATACTCGAATAAAAAAAGTAAGAAAAATATCGCGGCTATTTATAAAAATTTATTATTTATTATTAAATTATTATTATCACTAAGAAAAAAGAAAAAAAGAAACCGAATAGGGGCGTTTACCCTTAGTCTATAGCGAAGGGGTTTAGCTTCTCTTTAGGTACGGCAGGGGGGATCGGAGCTATTAATAACGCGCTAAAAAGAACTTAAGGTACTTAATATTATTATTAAGATAGTCCCTAACTACCTAAAGCTCCTATATAACTATATAAATACCGGCGAAGTCCTTTATATAGCTAAGAGAAATAAACCTAGCGTCGGTTAAAGGAGTTATATACTAACGCGAGTTAAAGGGTAAAACTAGATAAGGGCTACTAACCGAGGCGCCAGATAAGGATAAAGGGGATATAGATAATTTAAATATCTTTATAAGGCGCGAAGATAAAGGGGACTTAGCTAAATTAGTTCTTTTGCGATCTCTAAAAAATAGACCTAAATAGGGAAGAGGCTTCTAAGGGGTAATAAGTATAACTAGGGCAGAAAAGGGAGCGAAAGCTTCCGCTCTACAAAGAAAGCTACTATCCGAATTCTACTTATAAATAATACACAGAATCTATAAGGGTAGGAACTTATCCGTATAGAAAGAATAGTTAGTTCTAGTACTAGAAAAGTTATAGTTCGTGTAACCGCCACTAAAGATAACGAACCTATTATATATAAGGATACGATAAGTTACGAACGGGCCTAGACCGCGAGAATAGTAATTATATAACTCGCCGATAGGGGCGACTATAGCAGATTAGTAAGCCTAGATAATATAAAGAGGCACTATTATCTTATAATTATAGGGCTTCCTATTATATTAGTCGATATTAATCTAAATAGGTATATTTAAGATCGTACGGTTAAACTAAGTAACGAAACTAGTTATAATTAGGTTATTTTCGGTATTAAGGCCAATAAAGGATAAAGTAGGGGTAACCGGAGGAGAAAAGAAATAAATAGAGGCGACCGGAGGATTAGGAGAAGAATTAGGACTAAGGTATAGGCGGCTATAGATGCGATAAGGGCTAGTCGGAGTGGCTATAACGCGCGAAAATAAAAAGAAAAATATTTTTTTTTAAGGTTTTTTATAATAAACCTACGAGCAGGCAAAAATAAATATTAGATACTAGCCAGAAGATACCTAAAGATAGGCGAACAAGCATAAAAGGGAAAAAAATAGTAAAGAAATAAGTAGGTTAGAGAGGGTAAGAAGGGAAAAGAAAGAGGGCCGAAGAGTTACGCGCCTATATCCTTACCTATAACAAACGCGTATATTTAAGTGATTTCCTAATTAGGCCTTTATAATCTTACTAATCCTATTAATCCTCGTGATCCTATTAATCTTCGTAATCTTATTAATCCTATTAATCTTTATAATCCTACTAATCCGGTTAATTCTATTATAATAAGAAATACCGCTATAGCGGCCACGATCTACCCCGGATATATCTAATTAGCTAAGCTTAATTATTAACAGAATATACGCGGCCCTAATCGCCCGCGATCGACGCGCTTATCCGGACCCTCTCTTATAATAACGTACTAGTTTATTTATACCCTACGCGACCAGTTAATATAATAACTCTGCGCGTATTCGTTCCTTATTTATACCCAGACCTATATATTATTATTTTGATAATATTTCGGCACCTATTAGAAATATTTAGTTGCAATTAGGAACAAATATTCCCGTCCTTAATATATTTCTTTTGTTAATAATCTCTATTTATATTATATTAAGAAACTAACTAGGACTCTTAGGTCCGATCCTATACGTATCCGAGATCATAAGGATATAATCTCATTTAGTGGGGGAGGATATAATAATAGGGCCTTCTTGTTACGGGGAAACGGTCACGTTACCCAACTTTTTCTGCCGTACGGACCCGCATTAGTCCGCACGGCTACCATATATCTACTCCTTCGTACACTTACTGAATGGAACACACTTTCCCACCTCCAGAATCTCAACTGTAATTAACTAAGAACCGAAGCACTTAGTATTCTTCCTTATAAGGGGAATAAAGAACTAACACTAAAGAGGCGGGAGTATATAGCGGGGACGAGGGGATATAAAAGAAGTGGAAGACTATAGGTATTATCTTTTAGGTTTAACTTTTATATAGGCTTAATTATACGTAGGATATAGATATTCTGATACTCGTTTCTGTGCCAGCCTCTTATAGAGGCCGGTTTTCCTTTATATATATTATTTACTATAAGCCGCGCGTCTAGAGTTACGGATAATAAGTTCTACTTCGGATTTAGACAAAGCGCCTACATAGCCTTAATGATATTAGTTAGGCTTAATTAGATTAATAGAATTTAAATTAAATTAAATTAAAGTCACTAATATTATAATCTAAGGCTATTATAAAGTCTATAGTAGATATTGTCGGGATATAAGGGTAAAGCTACCACGAAGCACTTCGTGGCCCCTTAAGTCCGTGGGATCAACCTTAGTCCGGCTAGGTCAGTCAGTGCCGGACAAAGGAAGAAGGTCAAAGGTCGTAGGATAGACTATAAGCAGATATAACCTAAACGAAGGCAGAACCACAGTCCTGAGGATCAAAGGAAGAAGGTAGAGATAACTTTGGAAAGTGGAAAAATGACTTCAGGAAAGTAGAATTGACTTGATTCTATCTGCTAGAAAAGAAGGACGTATTTATAGGCTAGGATAGCCTAGAAATGACGTCTAGAATGACATACAAATGACGTACAAACACTAGGCAGCAACATAATGAAGGTGGCAAAGAAGGGAACCGAAGAGAAGCGTAAAGAATGATATCAAGGATCGACGGTCTAAGCCACCCCGAAGGCATCCCCGTAGGATCAGGCTATGCATGCCCAAAGGTAGACCATTTTACCCCTAAGGGAAAGTGGTCCGCCTATCCTTAAGGGGACCGAGGGTCGAAGTCTGTTCACCGAGGTCCGAAGACCATGGTCGAAGTCCGCGGGCAAGGCATGCCCGAAGGCACCCCCGAAGGAACGGACCATTCATGCCTGAAGGCGGACCATTTACCCCTAAAGGAAAATGGTCCCGCCTATCGTTTGGGGGAGGGCCGCGGACCAGAATCAGAAGTGGTCAACATATCATTTTGATAGAAGAAAAAAACTGGTCACGTGATCAATGCAATCTGGTCTTATATATTGAATATAAGAGTAGATCTTTCTATGTAGCATTGGTCTATAATCCAATACTAGCTTCTACTTAGATTATTATATTAGTTATTATTAAGTCTCTGAATTAGAAGTAATCTATTCCTTCCTCTCACTACCAGTCATACTCAGTAATAGGTTATTAGGTCATCAGGTCACTCACATTTTTGATAAATTATAGAAATATCCATTTATCTAGTCACTACTGGTAGTGACTACGAAAAACTTATCAGGTCAAAAAAGTGCGTCCAATTTCGACCTGATGAGCTTTTCGTGATCATATGACAAAAGTGGGAGTTTCAAAATTTTCAATTTACGGTGTAAACTACCAGTAATTACCAGTAATTACTGGGCATAACCAAATTGACCTGATGAGCTACATACCCGAAAATACCCGAGGGAACTTTACTGGTTCAAAGTGGGAGAATATTTCGACGCTAAACCTATAACTGACAGCCACTTTCTAGTTGCTATGTTTATGATGCTTTGTTTCATTTCGGCCTACATTACCCAATATTTAATAAAAGTCCAAGCCAAAGATCTTCAGCTTCTCGGCGAACGAGCTAAATTTGGTTGCCTTTATAGCAGCACCTACTCTCGCGAAAGAATACTTTGAAAGATCAGAGGCAACTGGCAATTGCTCATCAGCAATCTCACAAATAATGCCATAATCCTTGTCAAATTACGGTGCCTTCTGCTTCCTGCTCTATTCTAAATTAAAGTCTTGAATCTCTTTCTTGTGGCGCTGGTTCAATAAGCCCTTGAAGTGTGGGTACCCAATCCCCTATGGCTTTCAATCTGTCGCTCAAAGGTTGATTGACCCACCCCTCGGCGATCCGCGCCTCGTCCTCCTTCCAAGTCTGGATTGACTGGCCAATCCAAGGACCGACAGAAGCTGCTGTCTCTGCAACCTTCTCTAGCGGTAGTTGGTGGGTGCCTTTGATGACCTCTTGTTTCACTCGCGAAGCTTTGACGCCGCCACTCCCACCGATTCCTGTCCCGGTCCGATTCAGTACCTTTTCACGAGCCTCGGGGCGGGAAAAAGGACTGCTCTTTCCAAGCAGGTAATAAATAGGCGGTCGCACGTGCTTCAGAAGTCTCCACGCAAGTATTGCGTCGTATCTATAGAAAGGCGAGGTTGCATGAGAAGGACCGATAATGTCTGGGTAGAGGAGAGGATCGTGCGGGGGTCCTCCGTGGAGACCTTCTTGTCCCACTGGCTGGTGGCCGTGAGGGTTTGGCCGGAGGTATTGCAAAACCTCTTGGTACTTTGAGCTGGTCAAGGTAACCGGCCGATCAACCTGATCGGCCTGCGAGACACTGCTGATTGTTGGAAGATCACGGTACGCGTAGAGAATCCACCGTTCGAGGACACGGTTATCCCATCGCTTATACATCTTTTGTGCAGCTTCGATAGCTTCTGCCCGGGATTTCCAGGTGTCGGGTCGTTTAAGTGTGACGATCGTCAAGATGGGGCCTTGGCCCGTGAGTATGTCTGGAGCGAGGACTGGCTCGATAAGGGACAGGGATGTGAATAGACGAGGGTGGAGAAGCGACAAAAGAACACTGGTGAACGCGATTAGGAGAATACATTTCCTGCCCACTCCAGGGACTTACAGTTGACCTGCACCCATACTGTGTCCCACGCCCACGATGGGCCGCGGCATTTCATCGCGAAACTTGTTAATCATGTAAAGAAGGTCGCGGCTATGATCAAACCATGATGCTTCTGTCTATTAGCCACGCTACGAAATGAGAGACTGCGCAGGCTTACGATCATTGCCAAGATTTTTCTCATTTTCAACACCGCTAGCACCGAGGTTCGCGACATCAGCGATCCATATAGATCGAATCCGATAACTGTCTTGTCGACTTCGGGCAAGAAGTTCTTCCCACAGTGGCTCGTATACTTCCTGCGAATATGATTTAGCCGATCGGTTCTGCATATCATGAATATCACCAGTCGGATTGAGCCTGCTCACTTTTGGGAACCCACACCCATGTGCCCCAATAATAGTTACATCACCCGGCCGAGGAGTTGGGTTGTCAATTGGTGTGTACTTTTTCACGACAAGCTTCACAGGAGACTCTTGCTTGACAGTGGCATTGGGGTATTCCCGGATATGTTGTCCATCAAAGACATGTTCTGTTACGGTAAAGGGAAATCTCGGAATGTCAGCCATTTCGTTGGCTGAGAAAAAAAAATCGTCAATGGAAGGCTTTGGAGAAAGATTTGGTTGACATTTCCTCTGAGGGCTGAAATCCGACTTATTAAGTTCTTAGCAAATCTAGGCCCTTCAAACACAACAACAACATTTAGCTTGACACAAAACAAAGTGACGAACGCCGGACATTGCCGAGGATCCACTTTGACACTAAGGGTACATGGGTGTGCCAGGCCCGCCCGTGAACCGAGAAAAAGTTTTCATTTGTTAGACGGCCCTATTTCTTGGCCTACATTACCAAGTACAGCAAGGATGACTCGAAACCGAAAGACCAGATCGCCAGGATCGTAGCTACGCGCTGTCATTGAAGATCTATCACGATTTCCCTTCCATATTTTCAAGCTGTTTGCAGATAGCAATAGACCCACGCCAACGGCCGACTACTGAATGGCGGTATGCGCTTAGCCGACCCACCAGCCTTTCGCGGGCAAAATAAGCCGACGAACCACTCTCCGAAGGCGTTTATCAGCTCGCCATGAACTTGACGTGGACAATTTCCGGCCAATTTTATAAACTTATGCCCAATAAATGGATATCCCTTTGCCCGACTATTTATCCTAAGGGAGCCACTGCGTCCCACACCGCCCCTGATAATGCTCGGCTGAGATCAAAACCGAGTAAAACGATAGTGTTTTAACACTCTATATGTTCTATTTTTTAGCGTTAACTAGAAGCCTTTTGCACCGTGTGCCCAGTCTGGCCGTCAAGTGATACCAATTTTCCTTGTTTCGCTTTGTTCATCTCCATGTCCTTGCTCTCAGGATCTGAGACCATGCCGGTAACCCTTGATAATATAGTAGTACTCTATCTATTAAAGGGGGTGTTAAAATAAGAAGAAATTTATTGCACTAAAATATATTATACAATACTCAGCGTGGCCCAAAATTTTGGGCCACGTTGAGGTACGGGAGCCGAGGGTGAGACGCGTCTAGTTATGGGTCCGCGGGTGTATTGGGTGGTTTAAGTAACTCCTTGCGTCCGGTAATCCAGGCTGCAAGTTCTTCAGTCAGCTTCACCATGAAATCCGTCTACCAACTGAGTGTTTTGGCGTTGCTGTGCCTTGCCCAATGGGCTCAGGGCAGGAACGTGACGACCAATGCTCCCAGTATGGTCCGATTTAATGTCACCCTCACCTGGGAAACCTGGCAGGATTCCCCTGGTGCTCCTAGAAAGATGATCTAGTAGGCAAAAACCGGCACAAACGATACGCTTATATAAGCGAAACTAAGTTATATTATCTTTTTCCCCACAAGTAAAAGTGCTTCTGATATTATATATTAAATCAGAATATTTTTATCTATTTTATTGAATTTTATAGGGGGGGTTTAAAGTTGCTCTCCTTAAGCGGGTATGGATAGTCTAAAATTCCGAAAGAGGTTAGCGTTTGGTCCGAAATTCCCAAAGGGGATATAGTCCGAAATATATAGGATCGGCTTAGTCGAAAATGCATAAGGTCAGACCTATATTTTAGACCAACCCGACCCTATGTATTTCGGACTAACCCGACCCTATACATTTTGGACTAACCCGACCTAACCTAACTATATATATTTTGGACTAACCCGACCCTATATATTTCTCATTACGCCTATCTCCCTTTTTTTCGATTACTGTTCCTTATATTTTATCTTTATCGCCTTAATATAGAATTTAATAAATAGCAATTAGGAGCCTTATTTTCTCGAACCCTATCTCCGCTATATATTATGTCGGTAGGGTTCAAAAACTGCTGATATCGTGCGGGTGCAGGTTTGGAGAAACACTTTGTCTGCCTAGCCTCCGCGGCGAAGCGTAATACCCGTAAACGTATTAAGGAGAGATAGAAGAAATAATAGGAGAGGGAGAAGATAGGCCGGCTAACAAAGTACCTTATTAAGGCGCCGACGCGGAAGGTCTTAGAGCTATACGAGGGGCTATCGAAGCTATATATATCTATTCTTATCTAAATAAGGTCGATACGTATTAGACTAGGTCACTTCTTATACAAAATTAAAGAAGGGAATCAGACCGCTATTATTATGAGTAAGGATCTCAAACGCCAAGATATATCTTACTCTAATACCCGCTATATAGTGATCTACGAAGAATTATACTTAATAAGGTCGCTCGCACCGACCTTAGTAACACTATAAACTACAATACTATTATATCTTACCCGCGCGTGGCCCGCTATACTGTTATAATAATATATTAAATAGGTCCCTTAGGATAATTTCGATATATCGAGCCAGAACCAGATAATAGCCATAAATAAATTGGCCTTACGGCTATAGGAAGGTTATAAAGACACTATATATTGTAGTGGGAGAATTGGTGACATAATGAGCCTATGTGTGGCCTCAGGCATGATTTAATGTCTGCAGTGCATAGTACATCTCCAGACACACTTGGAGGGAGAGAAGTCATCTACCCAATTCATTCAGGATTCACCCAATTTCTTCTATCCATGATGCAGCATTAAGATTATCCCGCACGGCCGCAACAGGGCATCAGTACGGCCTCATCCAGCATCCTCTACACCAGACAGGCAGTGTGTGTGTGTGTTGTCCAGTCTGCATCGCCAGACAGCCATCGAGCCGTTCCCATTTCAATATATATTATCGAACGATAAGACCGGGCTACTAAGAATAGTTAGGCTACCGAAATAATTATTAATTCACTACGTATCATAATTAACTAAGAACCGAAGCACTTAGTATTCTTTCTTATTAGGGGAATAGAGAACTAACACTAAAGAGGCGGGAGTATACGGCGGGGATAAGGGGATATAGAAGAAGTAGAAGACTATAGGTATTATCTTTTAGGTTTAACGTTTATATAGGCTTAATTATATATAGAATATAGATATTCTAATACTCTAGTAGGCAAAAACCGGCACAAACGATACGCTTATATAAGCGAAACTAAGTTATATTATCTTTTTCCCCACAAGTAAAAGTGCTTCTGATATTATATATTAAATCAGAATATTTTTATCTATTTTATTGAATTTTATAGGGGGGGTTTAAAGTTGCTCTCCTTGAGCGGGTATGGATGGTCCAAAATTCCGAAAGAGGTTAGCGTTTGGTCCGAAATTCCCAAAGGGGATATGGTCCGAAATGCATAGGATCGGCTTGGTCGAAAATGCATAAGGTCAGACCTGTATTTTGGACCACCCCGACCCTATGTATTTCGGACTAACCCGACCCTATATATTTTGGACTAACCCGACCCGGTGCATTTTGGACTAACCCGACCCTATGCATTTCTTATTACGCCTATCTCCCTTTTTTTCGATTACTATTCCTTATATTTTATCTTTATCGCCTTAATATAGAATTTGACAAATAGCAATTAGGAGCCTTATTTTCTCGAACCCTATCTCCGCTGTATATCGCGTCGGTAGGGTTTATTTTTAAAAGCTGCTGGTATCGTGTGGGTGCGGGTTCGGAGAAACACTTTGTCCGCCTAGCCTCCGCGGCGAAGCGTAACACCCGTAAGCGCATTAAGGAGAGGTAGAAGAAATAATAGGAGAGGGAGAAGATAGGCCGGCCGACGAAGTGCCTTATTAAGGCGCCGACGCGGAAGGTCTTGGAGCTATATAAGGGGCTATCGAAGCCATATATATCTATCCTTATCCAAATAAGGTCGATATATATTAGACTAGGTCACTTCTTATACGAAATTAAAGAAAGGAATTAGACCGCTATTATTGCGAGTAAGGATCTTAAACGCCGAGATATATCTTACTCTAATACCCGCTATATAGTGATCTGCGAAGAATTATACTTAATAAGGTCGCTCGCACCGACCTTAATAACACTATAAATTATAATACTATTATGTCCTACCCGCGCGCGGCCCGCTACGCCGTTACGATAATATATTAAATAGGTCTCTTAGGATAATTCCGATATATCGAGCCGGAACCAGACGACGGCCATAAATAAATTGGCCTTATAGCTATAGGAAGGTTATAAAGACGCTACGTATATACTACCGAACAATAAGACTGGGCCACCGAGAATAGTTAGGCCACCGAAATAATTATTAATTCACTATACACTATAATTAACTAAGAACCGAAGCACTTAGTATTCTTTCTTATTAGGGGAATAGAGAACTAACACTAAAGAGGCGGGAGCATACGGCAGGGATAAGGGGATACAGAAGAAGTAGAAGACTATAGGTATTATCTTTTAGGTTTAACTTTTATATAGGCTTAATTATATATAGAATATAGATATTCTAATACTCTTTTCTGTGCCGGCCTCTTACAGAGGCCGGTTTTCCTTTATATATACTATTTACTGTAAGCCGCGCGTCTGGAGTTATGGATAATAAGTTCTGCTTCGGATTTAGACAAAGCGCCTATATAGCCTTAATAACGCTAGTTAGGCTCGATTAGGTTAATAGAATTTAAATTAAATTAAATTAAAGTCACTAGTATCGCAATCTAAGGCTATTATAAAGTCTGCGATAGATATAAGTGTAAGCGGCTTTAGAGGGGATAGGGTCGACTTAGTCGAGTTAGTCGGAAATATATAAGGTCGAACTTAGTCGAAACTATATAGGATTGACTTAGTCAAAAATATATAGTATCGACTTAGTCGGAAATATATAGGATTGGCTTAGTCGGAAATATATAGGGTTAGGTCTGTATTTTGGACTAACCCGACCCTATATATTTTCGACTAACCTAACCCTATATATTTTTGACTAAGGCTACCCTCTGCATTTGCGACTAAGGCTACCCTCTGTATTTTAAACTATGCTCGGCTTCTATATTTTCCCTACGCACTATAGGTATCCTAGTGAATACATAATATTATTTATATATTACCTTATTTAATAATTTCTTTAAACTCCCTATTATCTACAGATTTAGTGTGTGGTAAAGGGTATAAGTTCACGACTCTCTTAGGCCCACTCTTAAGATATATCTTCTCTAATGACTTATATATATTACCTCTTATATT